GGTCTAGTGTACCACTTCAACAACCACCACAGCACCAGCCAGAGGCATTCTCACCTCCAGGCCCTCAAAACGACAACTCCTTTTTCAGCCCTTTATCGAATCTCTAATCAGGTCAGCTGAAGGATGAAAACTACTGTGAAGCTGGCGGCGAACCCAGGAAGAGGACAGCAGAAAGAAAGAAGAAACCCTATTAGATTCTAGGTCAAAGTAGAGAAGAAGAAAGAAGAAAGAAAAGAGAAAGAAGAAGAAGAAGTATTCGGCCAGACTTGAAGAGAGAATGTAAAATCACACCTCTCCTAGCCGACCCACTTGAATTTATTCAAAAAACTTAGAGTTACAAGAAAGACTAATTTGTCCCTCATAGAAGATGGGACACATAACTTAAACTCAGATACAATAGACCTTTCTCTTTCAAGAAGATAAACCAGAATGACCAAAATACCCCTGACTCGAGCATTCTAACAGAGACAAAGTGGGAAATAAGATAGAGAACGGAGAACAACCATCAAGAATGAATGAGGGCAAGCGATTAATGAGAAAACAAGCAGTTAGGATTGCATCCCTCCAGAAACGTTTAGGAACATTCATATGATGAAGAAGAGACCGAGCTGTTTCAAGTAGATGTCAGTTCATCCTCTCAGCCACCCCATTTTGCAGACTAGTAGCAGACTAGCAGCGGTACAGTTAGTGAGAACCAGCAGAATGATCAGACCCCTTCAACATCTACTGGTGCTTCTGGGAAGGAAATGGTGAGTGTCCCATGTGATGTATATGAGAAGTTTCTTTAGACATCCTCTCAGCAGAACACAACTACTCTTACCCATTCAGGTATGGCTTGCTTGGCTTCCAAACCCTCACACTGGATCATTGACTCAGGAGCCTTGGATCATGTGTTTTCTTCATTTTCTCCATCTTCTACTTCCCAAACAGTTACCCTTGCTAATGGTTCTACCTCTCCCATTTGTGGTGTTGGTGATGTTGGTCTTACCTCCTTATCCTTATCCTCTGTTTTATATGTACCCAAGTTCCCTTTTAATCTTATGTTTGTTAGTAGGTTAACCAAGTCACTTAATTGTTCTATAACTTTTTATCCCTCTTCTTCTGTGTTTCAAGATCTCAAGACAGGGATGATGATTAGTGGAGGGCACGAGGCAGGTGGATTGTATTATCTTGATGGTGGTGGCCCGATGGTAGCTCTTCAGTCCTCTCTTACTCCTCTCCAGTGGCACTGCAGACTTTGGTTATCCATCACTCAAGGATCTGAAATTGTTGGTTCCGTCTTTAAGTTGTCTTCCACCCAACCGTGTCAGCTTGGGAAACACCATAGAGTCTATTTTAGTCCTAAAGTTGATAGTCATGTTGAGTCCATTTTCTTTAGTCCATTCAGATGTTTGGGGTCCAAACAAAGTAGTGTCATACAATGGTTATAAGTATTTTGTAATTTTTGTTGATGACTTTTCAAGGATGATATGGCTCTATCTTATGAAAGATCTAAGTGAATTGTTCTCTATTTTTTCAAAAATTTTATGCTGAAATATGTACCCAATTCAGAGTTCATATTAAAATTCTTCGCTCAAATAATGCAAAAGAGTACACCTCAACACCATTTCAGCAATGCTTAGAGCACCATGGGGTAATTCATCAAACTGCTTGTTCTTATACCCCACAACAGAATGGCGTGGATGAACGGAAAAACCGACACTTACTTGAAACTGTTTGGTCCATTATGCTTGATATGAATGTCCCAAAGTGTTTTTGGAGTGATGATGTCCTGACATAATGTTTTCTCATCAATCGGATGCCCATGTCCATCCTTGGAAGTTAATCCCCTTTCTCAGTCTTGTTCCCTACTCTTTCTCCATTCCCTCTTACCCCTAGAGTCTTTAGTTGTGTTTGTTTTGTTTAGAATTTAGGGCCTGGATTAGACAAGTTAGATGCACGTGCTACCAAATGCATTTTCCTTGGATACTCCAGAATCCAAAAMAGGGTATAAGTGTTATAACCCTAGCTCTCATCGGTCATTTGTGTGCTCTGATGTCACTTTCTTTGAGTCGGTTCCATTCTTCTCGAATACTGATGTCCCTCCTCCTGCTCCTATGGTTCCGCTTCCAGTTCTAGTTGAGGATCCCCTTCCTATGGTTCCAGTTCTATCTCCATTGCTGCCTTCCCCAGTGTAGGTTAATACTGAGAGGCCACCAATCACACAAGTGTATACTCACTGAAGAGCACCGGCCCCTCCTCCAGTTCAACCCTCACCGACGGATCCTGTGGTTGCACCTCCTCCTTCTGACCTTGATCTTCCTATTGCATTGCGGAAAGGTAAACGTAGTTGTACATCTCATCCTATTTCTCATTAAATTTTTGTTGCTCACCTTTCCGCTTCTCATTGCCATTTTATATCTTTGCTATCCTCTATTTCCACTCTTAAGACTGTCCAAGAAGCCCTTACTTCGCCAGGGTAGCAACAAGCAATGGAAGAGGAATTGTCTGCTCTGAAACACAATCACACGTGGGAACTTACCACTCTCCCTCCTGGTAAGCATGTTGTTGGATGTAAGTGGGTCTACACAGTTAAGTACCTTACATATGGTAGTGTGGAACGATTAAAGGCCAGGTTAGTGGCCAAAGGCTATTCCCAATTATATGGTATTGACTATACAGAGACATTCTCTTTCAGTTCGGGTGTTAATTTCATTAGAAGCAATGTATGATTGGCCTCTCTTTTAGCTTGACATAAAAAATGCCTTCTTATATGGTGATCTAGTTAAGGAAGTATATATGGAGCAACCACCAGGGTTTGTTGCTCATGGGGAGGATGGTAAAGTTTGCAGACTTAAGAAGGCGATCTATGGACTAAAACAATCTCCACATGTGTGGTTTGGTAGATTCAATGAAGTAGTGAAGAACTTTGGCATAAAACAGTGTCAAGTAGACCCATTCTGTGTTCAGCTGTGACTCAAAAGATGGGAAAACCTTGTTAGTGGTGTATGTGGATGATATTGTCATAACTGGTAGTGACAACATGGGATTGACAGGTTGAAAAACTTTCTACAAGATCACTTCCACACAAAGGATCTGAGTAAGCTGAAATACTTCCTTGGGATAGAAGTTGCAAGGTCAAGGCATGGAATTAACTTGTACTAAAGGAAATATGTCCTTGATTTACTTGAAGAAACAAGGTTGTTGGGTGTCAAACCAGCTAAAACACCCATGGAACTGAATGTTAAGTTGAGTATTGATGCAGGTGAAGAGTTTGATGATCCTAGAAGGTACATGAGGTTGGCGGGAACATTGAACTACTTGACTATTACTCGGCCAGATATATCATTTTCTGTAAGCATGGTGAGTCATTTTATGAAGCATCCTCGGGTCCCACATTGGGAAGCAGTGCAGTTCTAAGAATAGTCAAGTACCTGAAGGGTGCTCCAAGTCGTGGTCTGTTATACAAAAGTGGAGGAACTCTTGAGATAGAAGGGTATACAGATGCTGATTGGACCGGATCTATGTCTGATCGGAGGTCTACTACAGGGTATTGTACCTTAATGTTATACAAAAGTGGAGGAACTCTTGAGATAGAAGGGTATACAGATGCTGATTGGGCCGAGTCTGTGTCTAATTGAAGGTCTACTACAGGGTATTGTACCTTCCTTGGTGGCAATTTGGTAACTTGGAAGAGAAAGAAACAAATAGTGGTGGCAAGGAGCAGTGCAGAAGTTAAATACAGGGCTATGTCTCATACTACATGTGAACTAGTGTGGCTGAAAAATCTTTTGCATGAAATGGGGTTCTTAATTGACAGGCCCATGAGGTTGTACTGTGATAATCAAGTTGTTGTACGCATTTCTTCTAATCCAGTCTTCCATGAGAGAATAAAGCATATTGAAGTTGACCGCCACCTTGTACGAGAAAAGGTGATTGATGGAGTGATAAATACAGCTCATGTGAGTTCAGGAAGCTAGTGGACAGATCTGTTTACGAAGGGACTGAGTCAGGGAAGAGTGGATTACATATGTGACAAGCTAGGACTATATGATATATATTCTCCAGCTTGAGGGGGAGTGTTAGAGTCGACAGTAAAGGGTAGTTAAGTCTTTTTTCTATCTAATTAAGGTTGAATAGTCTATTTTGTTTGAGTTTAAGTTGTGTGTCCCATGCTTAATGAGGGACAACATTGTCTTTTGTAACCCAACATATAGAGTATAAATACAAAGTAGGTCGGCTGAGAGAAGTAACTTTTCTTCTCCTTGATCGGACCCTTTCTTCTTCTTCTTCTTGACCAGACCTAGAACTGAACTAGGGGTAATCGATCTATTCACAATTCTTCCTACGTTCTGAAATCACTATTAAAACTACTGTAACCCTACCCCTTGTGGGCACTCCACATCAACTTAATAAAAGGTTATTTGTTCTCTCATTTCCACTTGTAGTGAAAATTTGAAAGTTCTTGTTGAAACTTTGTTTGCTTTCCTAAGAAGTAGAAACATACTTTGGCAGTATTGAGACTCTTTATCTCCTTCCTTTGTGAAATTTTAATTCAAGTTTTGTGATTGTAAAGAGAACACCCATTATACCTTTGTTTTTACTTATATCTGTCTAGTCTCCCTCCCCCAAGTCAATGTTTTTGAAATCACAACTAAAGTTTCTGCAATTGTAGTACAGAAGTACAAAATGCAGCCATTCCCTTTTGTAGGAATTTTACATGAGAATTTTTCCATGATTCCTCTATTCATCCAAAAAATTAAAAACCTTTCCATGCTTCCCCTCCACAAAGGACAAGAAACAATGGAAGTGAATAACAATGTCAAGAAATAGTTAAGTTCCAATTATCATATTCAAGTTGTTGAAAGGAAGAACAAGAAACCATCAATTACTAGCCTCCACATTATTCATGTTATATATACTAGATATTATTTTCTAGTCCCTCAATCCCTCCTAAATACCAGAAAAGATAAAGTCATGCGAAGCATATATAATATTCATCTAAAAGAGTGCTTACCAACCTTAAAAGATAAGTCTCCAATGGTATGCGCTGATTTTGATGTTCGACTAGAACTTCTCTTTATAGGCCCTGATTCCTTAACTGCCTCAAATAAAGGCCCATGAGTGGAAACATCTATTGTTTTATTATGTTTCTCTTGGGCTGTCACTTCACTGGAATTAGACACCCATGCCTTTCTAATAGCCTCCAAAGAATCTCTAGCCCCTTCAGCAGTGAGGTGCCAGTTCCATATTTTCCCATCATCAGTAATGGAGATTATATGTGCCTTAGGAACAAGATCAGACTTGCTATAACAATCTAATGGGGCATCATAATCCTCAGCAGGTGAATCATGAGATGAATTAGGACAAAGCTTGACAATATTTTGGAGCATTGCCTCTGATTGACAGAGGATGACAGAAAGAAGAGCAGGAGAAGGAACAGATGTGCCAATTGAGGGCATTATTTCTTCCATCACACACATCCTGTTAGCTTGTTCTCCCCTGCAATAAGAAGCAAGTAAGTATAGCCTAAGTCCAGGGTAAAAACAGTAAAAAGAAGGTAGTGTCTCACGAGGCTTTTCGGTAAGAAAAAAATATGCACAGAAAAAAGAAATTGAGTATACAATCTCCAAATGATGAGAAATCCCACCTCATCTTTCATTTGGCAAAGATAATAGGTATTCTAAGAATTGAATACCAAAACAGTTTCCTAGAATAAGATTCTAATGTTGCATGTAGTCACCCTTCAGGTTTAAAAGAACAAAATACTTTAACCAAATCCCAACTAAAGAAGTACTATTCTCTAAGGCAAGAGATAAAGCCCCTGGATGTGATGGATTCTCAATGCTGTCTTCCATGAGTGTTGAGATATCAATAAGATGATCTGTTCAAGGCCATTAACGAATTCCATGAGAGAGGAAACTTATCAAAAAAAGTCTATGAGATGAGAGAGGAATTATTCATTATGCTTTCAAAAAAAAAAACTGAGGTTCTCCACCCTATGGATTTTAGACCTACTAGTTTTCTTGTAACCTTTAAAAAGTCATTTTGAAGGTCCTCTCACTTTGGATAAAAGAAGAATCACCACAATTATATCTAAAAATCAAGGATATTTCATCCAAGGAAGACAAATCGTAGATCAAATTTTGATAGCCAATGGATGTGTAGAGGATATCAAAAGGAGGGGGAACCGGGATGGGTATGTAAATTTTTCTTGTTTTTTTAAGGGGTGGGCATGTAAGTTGATTTTGTTGATTGGTCTTTGATAGAATTGGTAATGGAGAATAGTGGCTTTAGGGTGAATGGATAAAGGGATGTTTTGCAAACATGTCATTACTCTATATTGGTGAATGAATCAGTCAAAGGCTACTTCTCTACTAACAAAGAAACAACTGCATTCCAACTTTTTATCTATGGTTTCATGCATTTGTAAATGGAATTAAAACACGTCAGAACAATAGAGGATAGATAGTTCAAATTGTAAAATGTAGATAACCATTTTATGGTTTCTTAGACACAAGAATGTATTGATATTGACTTGAATTCTGAAACAAGAAAGAAACAAGAACAAAGAAGATCCAAGCGTGGGCACATACTCCTTCCGCCTCCAGATGCTTATTTTGCCATCAAGGTGAGCACAGTAAAGCCAGTCGTTATCGGGATCAGGCAGAACATCCAGAAACTTGCCACATTTGCGGGGTAGTGAAGCAGAAGCTAGTGAGGTCTCGTATTGTAAATCAAACACTACCAACTCCTTGGGGAAAGTAACAAATAGAATGTACCTCCACTGTGGTGAAAATGAGAACCTCACGATAAATAGAGGAAACACCGCGAGCGCGGGAGAAGTCGCCGGATTATTACCCCCTTCTTTTTCAACCTTGTGCAACTCTCTGAAGTCACTGAAAGTCGGGACATGAAGCTCCTTAATCACAACGTCATTCTCCTCCTCTCCATGGACAATAACTGAGAGCAGAAACCCTTTCAGCCCCAATGCACAGAAATGCCTGAAATCAAATGGATCGCGACGAATGCAGGAAAAGTATTCAGGGGAGGCGTCGTATCTCCATATGCATCTGCCATTGGACGTATTCCAGAGAGAAAGAAGAGAGGGGCCGCTTATGGAGGCAAGAATCAAGGAATCGGCTTTGGCACGGATCCAACAGAGATCCTGAATCCCAGGTTTCGATTTATCGGAAAAGGCCAGCGAGGTAGGAGAATCGAATTCCAACCAGAGAATGACCTGTCGGAGTCGGAAGTCCCAGAGAGCGATACGGCCCTGGCGGTCGCCAACGGCGATGAGGAGGTGAGAATTGGAAGGTTCATGGGTGAGGAGGTCGCGGCGGATGGGTTGCGGGGTCCAGCAGACTGCCGTGACGAATGGGGCGAGGCCGATTGGGGAGGCGGAGGGGGCGGGCATGGGGAGTACAGAGATGAGCTGCATGGTTCGCGAATCGACGACGACGACGCTGCTCCCAGCACCGTAAGCGAGGAGGCCGTTGGTGCTGCAGTGGGCAGATCCGCCATTGTTCCGGCTAGGTGGGCCCGGGAGCATGCAGTCCCATGTGTCGTGTGGAGACCGGGAGACGGGCATTGTCGCCGGTGCAGGAGGGACCGAGAACTGAAGAGAGCCAGAGGAATTGGCTGTGTGTGTCGCTACTGCGAGCCAACCGTACCGTTATTTACCCGCCATTTCGTGGATTGATCGTTACGTTCTTCTGCAACTTTCTTTCATTTTATCTGGACTCTGGAGGTGGTCAGAGACAGAGGGGCTGGGAGGGGGTATTGCAGTGGATGTGATTACGGGTATAGGCGTATAGCAATCGCAATCCAGACGGTTGACAGTTCAAAATTCAGTTTTGTCTGGTCAACTGGATCTGATTCAACGAACGTTTTAGATCAGAGGCTGGTCGTGTTTGGCTTGGCATCGATGCATTTCGTTTTCGTTTTGTTCGAAGTAACTGGCCTGTGGCCTGGCCACATAAATAATCACGTACGGTTGCTGAATGCTGAATGCTGATGCCCGTTCACTTCACGCATTAATTCATGCATGGGTAAGGGTAATGGGTTTCTTTGCACGTTATGAGTATAACAGACATCATTTCCACGTTTCCAATGTGGGGCTGGGGGCAACGTCACGTGGTACATTCAAAGATCCCTTAAAATAATAAATCATTTCTCTGAGCTGGTTCTGTATTGACTGTAATAATTTAAATATTTAAAACAACATTATGTCAAACACCATCTATATGGGAGCTGTTATCATTATATATATATAACACGCTAGATAATTACCCCTGTATTAAGTACGGACCCACTATTCTGATCTACTTCGTTTAACACCAATTATTAGTTTACGTTAATTGTTAATTTGACTCATTCACTAAATAATAGATATATAGGTTTCTAAAAATTGAATTGGAGGTGAGGTTTGGTTTGGATAAAAATTGAATTAGATAAATTCAACCGGATCAAACCATTTTTATTACGATTTGGTCTGGCTTGGTTTAGTCTAAGAAATGAGATGTACATTTTATTTGAGATTCACAATTTATCTTGAATATTTATTATGAGTTCTTACTTCATTGTAAAAATTATATCTCATAGGGGTCGTTTTTCAATTTTTCCTTAGCACAGTATTTTTCTTAGTAACATTAATAATTTTTCTCAAAGGTAGTGAAAACCCATAACGGGGCTTTAAATCGCACCTTACCTAAGAATACCTAGATTACGTGCCAAGTGAGCCACCATTCAGTTGGCATTAAGTTTTTTTTTTAATAACTTGTTTAATCTGAAAGAATGATATCCACACCATTTAAAATATTCATAATGAAATTAAAAAGGTTAATATGTACCGCACATCAAGTGGGTAATTTTTTATAGGTACCCACGTGTCTACAATTCTTATGGAATTAGCTATTCTTACTTTTTCTAAGAGTAGGTGGACACCAACTCTAAGGATTAAGGAATAAGATTTATGTTTGATATTGGAAAAAACCGGCCTGGAGACCGAATCATTTTTGTCTTTGGTTCGTGAGCCACTGGTTTGACCGTTCGGGTGCATATATATATATAGTGTGTATAAATAAATATATTTTAGCAATAAATATTGTATAAATATGTTATATATATTATTTTATATTTAATATATGCTTTTTAATTTAGTTTTTAATTTTTTTATTTATAAAATATTAAAAATTGCAATTTGAGGTAAAAAAAAGGGTTTTTTGCAAAAATAGCGAGGCAAAGGGCTTACGACCTTGGGATGCATATGTCTCAAAAAGTTACAAAAAAAAAACCCAACCAGACATCGGAGTGCAAAGTTATGGCCTCTGAAAGTTTTGTATGCATTGAGTATGCAACCCACGACCCGATCACCGAATCAAATGTGTCAACTGTTGAACCGGTCGGGTCGAATAGTTCTAGGCCAAGTCAATGATTTTGACCGTCTAATGGGTCTTGATTGAACCGGACCTGGAATCCTAGCCAAATGATAGTTTGAACGATTCGACCGACTTGGTCAAGGAAGGGTTGAAAACATTGGAAAAAACTAATACTCTTTGTATACTATTTGTTGAGAAGATAAGATGCCATTTGGTTGAAGCTGAAACTCTCTAGTTTAATGGATTTCCTTTAAAGAATAAAAAAAAAGGATATATGACACTTGCTACACACATATATACATATCTGCATTTATATTGAAAAAAATTATACTTTTTGAAAAGTTGAAAAGTAGATTAAGATGATTAAGTCACATGCATAAAATACCATGATGACACTTATCGAAAAAAATGCTCTCTTACAAGTTGAAGAAGTTAGAAGAACAGAGTTCACATCTGCGCCCCAAAGGGGGCACCCCACAATGTCTCACAGCATATCCCCGCCATGCATTGGGAACACTGTGGGGCGCAGATCTGAACTCAGAAGAGTTGGGGGCAAATGGAGAAAGACTCGGTATAAGTAATAATAAATTATTTAAGTTTCTATAATTTAATAATAGATATGGCACTAAATGACTAAACAAAATAGAATATTGGCGATTTACGTAGTCAACCCATATAGTTGAGAAAAAAGTTGGATGATGATGAATAAAGGTTTTTTTTTTTTTTTGGCAAAATACTTTTTGTTTGAATGTTCTAGAAAATAGCTCCATTCCAAGCAGGATAGACAATTAGAGAATGATGTTTTGTTAAAACAAGCATGACATAACCAAATCTAGCCGTGAGATGTAACAACCATTCATACGTGTTTTTTGTTCAACCATAAAGGAAAAATCTATAGTGCATTCACCATATTGTGTTTATAAAATATGTGATTGATTGAATGTAATGGTAAATACACTTTATGAAATGTAAATCAATAAAAGGTAAATAGACTTCATATGAATGGTTGAAATCTAAATAACATGCAACCAATATCATTGAAAAGTATATGATTGGTTAAGATCTGATTAACATATAACCAACATCAATAAAAGCATGGTAGCTGAACTGTAAAATACAAACATTCTTTTGTCTTGCATGAATTAAAATAAGGCTGCATTTGGAAACGATGCAAATGGAGTGTAAATCCCAATTTAGAGTAAATTTACACTCTGGTTCACCTTTGCCTGTGTTTAGCAATACTACATTTATGCATTGACAAATGACAGACCAATGCATATTTACATTGATAATAAGATGTAAAAGTACATAAATAAAAAAGAAGCAAATTTGCATTCAAGTGGGCTTCTGATAAAAAAAAAAACATTTGCTTTATTGAAATTCAAATTTGCATCCATTACAGCTAAAATTCTGTTTGGTAAGAAGGTCAATTTGTCAATATAAAATTAACCCAATTTTGTAATTTATATGAACCATTTTACACTCTACATATTTGCATCATTTTCAAAATACCCTCAATTGGGTTGCTTGTTTCAAAATACTTCTTTTAGTTATTTGTCTATATTCGGTTTTACAGAAAAATAAGAGAGAAACATGAAGAGTCTTAATAAGGAATTTCAACTTTCTATTTTTTTCATATTTTATATTAAACCAAGCACAGCCTTTAAGAATAATGGGACCCAGTGTTTTTAACGACATCATAGTTTTTTTCAACATTGCACATTCCTACTGCAATCGAAATTGCTTTAACTCTTTACTCATTCCTTTCCTTCACTATTATTTGGTTGATGTCATATGTGGGTCTTAAAAGGGGAAACAAGACAAATGAAGAAACATGCCTCTAATATAGTAATACTACTTTATAGGTTTTTTGTGGGAGCAAAGTAAAAACGGAATGTGTGGAGCAGCTTTTCCAGAAACACGAAAAATGCTTCTTGATTGCATAAAAAATGAATATTTTATGAGAATTAAAGTGATGAGTAGTAGTTGAAAGTAAAATGATATTCTTTTATTATTTTTCAAGTCATTTTCCAAGTATAAGGCAGGTCTTCTTGATCAAATTATGTGATTCCCATAAATTTCTTAACCATTTGAATTTATTTTCCAAGTTAAACAAATGCGAAGAAAATTAGAAAATGATTTCACTTTCTTTTGAAAATAATTTCCTAGGCTGTGTTCGGCTGCATCCAATCCAAACAGAGAAAACCAAAGGAGGCTAAAAAAACTACAACACAGGAGAGAAACTAATCCTAAGAGGAGCCAACAGCCCGATCATTCATTCCAATATCCGAAAACCACAAAGGAAAACAGTCATTTAAAGTGGAATTAAGACACTTTAAATAATCCTCCTCCTACCTCTATTCTCTTTTCATTTAAAGTGGAAGACACTTTATTTACTTCCTATTTTACTTCTTACAAGTAACAAACAAATAAGATAAGGTATAATCAGAAGCAAAGAAGTCCAGAATTTACTTAGGTCTTCTGGACTCCCATAAGGCATTTGCACCAAACAAACTGAGCATGGGAGTGCAAAAGGGCTGAGTCTAAATTCTGGTTTACTGTTGCTTCATATTTGACTTAGTCTTATTTGTTTGTGACAAGTAAAATAGGAACTTAAATAATGTAGTCTCCACCTTACATGAAAAAGAATGGAGGTAGGATGAAGCAAGATGATCTAGTTCTTCCTTTATATATGAGAGAATTGGTGTAGGAGGAAGATAGTGCAATTTTTTTGCACTGCAAATAAATGCAAATGAGACAAACAAAAAAAATACAAATATTGTATCACATATGCAAATCATACTTACAAACAAATGGATCTAAAATTGGACTTGATACAAAATTTGTAATCAATCCAAATTTGTACGGCAAGCAAGCATAATTTAAGGTTGCGATGGAATTGTACACCAGTTGGTTTAAAGTTATTGACCATTGTAAATGGAAAGTGGGATTATCAATGTAAATATTTACATTGTTTCTATCATAGGTGCATTTACGTCAATTATCAATGTAAAATTCGATGCAAGTTAAATTTTATATCGATTTTCAATGTTTAACTATACTCCATCCAAACACTAACAAAACCGGACCAAAGTGTTTAATTACACCAATCAATATTTAGACCCAAACAAACGCAGCCTAAGAAAACTATTAACTTTCAATTATTTTTACAAACAATTTGTTACATCCCCATTCTCATTGAAATCGGAATTACAATTCACAATGAAAGAAGTTTTGGCAAAGTCACCAATGAGAATTCTAGGTTTTAGGTGGATGGACCTCACTCCAATTGCACGCCCGAATCGAATTATATGAATTTCAATCATTATCCATGTACAATCCACCTGTAGAAGTATGAAGATGACAACTATGGTTCACCTCTTAAAAGTATGAAAATGACAAGTACGGCTAGATATCAAGATTGTCACTCAATGGGCCCATCCAATGGATGTCAGATACGAGTAAAAAGTTTTGATTAAGACGCTCAAAAGTGCTTTTTTCCGCTTTTTGGAGGCAAGTTAAGGGTCACCCAACTTTTATTTAGATGTCAATCAATTGGTTAGATGAATTGCATTAGAGTACCGTGAATGGAGAAGAGGGGAGTTCCTCACTTTAAGTAGTCTAATTTAAAATAGAGAAGCAGATGACCCAGCAGTTGAGG